ATTGGTGTAACTGTTGTCACTTCTGTTTCGTTTTTGGCTGATTCTTCACTTGGTTTTTTCGCATCTTCGGCAAGTGATTTTACTGCAACTTTGTCAGTTGGTTTTTCAGGTGAACTTTCGACTGGTGTTCCTGTTGTCATTTCAGTTTCCTTTTTCGCTGATTCTTCACTTGATTTTTCTGCATCTTCGATGATCGATTTGACTGCCACATGAAGTAACCGCGAAGATTTTTCGTTCACCTTTTCCGTTGGATTTTCCGTTGTTTTTTCAGCAGGTTTTTCAGTTGTTGTCGTTGTAGTTGTAGTTGTTGTTGTCGTAGTTTTTACTTGTTCTTTTGGTATTTCTCCATATGGAGCATCTAACGAAAAGCGTGCTTTTCCCCGTGAACGAATTGGTTTTTTGGTAGAAGTTGGTTGTGATTCTTCCGATTTTTTCTCGTCTTTTGGATCTGATTTCTTTTCATCAGTTAAAGGCGTTGTCTTAACTTCAGCTACTTTAGATTCAGATGGTTTTTCTTCATTTTCTGATGATTTTTCTTTGTTATTCTAAAATTTAAAATTATTGCATTTAATTAAACAAAAGGCATCTAAATTAAAAGAAATGGTTAAAACTCCATAAACAAATCAAGTTCGATCAATTCAAAATTCCACTCTTAGTTACTCAAAATACACTCATGGAATTGATACATTAGTGATCAATGAACATCAATTTTAAAAATAAAATCACTTGAAATTAAAACGAAAAACGTATAGATTTGCAAACTTGTGTATTTACATTTTCAGTTTTAGTTTCTACAGGTGATTCATCCACTTTGGCTGTGCTTTCTTCAGTCTTTGCTTCGGTAGTAGATTTAGTTTTTACTGCATCGATTTTATTAGGTACGACTTTTATTTCCAATTTGACGGGTTTTATTTCAACCGGAATTTGATCTACTTCAACTTTATTTGTACTGACTGTTAAATTAACTAAATCATCTTTATTTCCACGCATTGGTGATGCATGAATGCTTGCCAAAAGGCAGGCCAATACAAAAAGTCCGAATTTCATTCTATTGCGCGCACCACTTATCACTCGCACACAATTTGAGTAAAAAGAACGAAATAAATCAAAATCACAGCAAACAAAATTGTAGCGGGGCGTTCGATTCCGAATTCAAACCAAAACTGTTATGCAATTCGAGGCTGAGGATCGCTTTTATATACCCAAAAATGATGTACGCAATATAATCGGTCAAAGCAAAAATCAAACTCACACATTCGTAAATGATATAGCGTATCAATGGAAAGAACATCTTCAATATAAAAAAGGTGTTATGAATTGCCCAAAAATGTTGAAATCAAAACGAACGCAAATATTGGAGAAAGAGAGATGGAAAAAAGATCAAAAATATACCAACACACAAATAAAATCTGATAACACGAACTTGAATATGATGAGAAATAAATAACGAAAATAATAAAATAAAACGAACAAATGCGCGAAATCAATACGTCTTCATTTTAGCCATACTCGCATGACTCAAAACCCGTTCGAATTACATATGTGAAGAATCTCCATTGAAGAATTTACTGTAGTCTCTTAGGGCCAGGGTTTGTGGTTAAGCGATATTGAACTATTCCAAAACTACACAAATTAATTCAATTTTTTTAAATATTCAGATGGAACTACAAGTTCCTTATATTCGCCGAATAACCGAGATTTTCCTCTCTAAATCCAGTAAAATGATAATAAATTGATTTCGTTGATGGATAGTAATTCTAACATTTGTTTCTTTGAATTTAAGCCGATGATATTTGGTCATCAAACAATTTAAGAAAAACAAAGATATTCGTGTATTGATTGATTTGAACAAATGATACACAATACGATAACATCATCAGTTTTTTTAAAAAATCTTCATCACTTCAATGGTTGCCACTTGATTTTGTGAAATAAATGGCTTTCGTCTGAACACATCACAGTGCTGAAATAAAACCAAAACCCATTGATTACTCATCCATTCAATTCTTTTAAATTGACTTATGACTTATTAGCTTATGACACAAACAGTCATCAGTTTGTATTGTTAATTCGATTAGTATACGATTTGATTAGCCATGAAATGTGACCATTATTATACAGCCTATTTAAGATAATGCGACACATTGGTGTGATCATAATCTCTGCTGATTTGAGAGGAAAAAAAACAGTCTTTTATCATTTTTTGAAAAGTTTTCGGTCCAGAAGTTTCCTCGTTGATAATCTGACAAAAATCCAAATGAATTATTGTCTCTCTTTTCAAAATTATTATCTCTAGTCGTCGTTCTACTCACACGTTGGTGCATTGTTAATTAATAATAATTTGAGAAGCAAAACAGAAAGTCGTCGCGCCAAAATTTGATGTCATTGTTATGAATTGTCATTTTTACGTTTTCGATGCATGCAAATAAATGATTTCAAACGAAAATATTAATGTTTCGATGATTTATGCATGAATGCACACACGAAATTGAATTGACACAAGCTTTAGAATGACAACAAAAAAGTGGTCGTCTTCGTCATTTTCGTTTTTTTTTTTTGTTTGTCCGTTAGATTTCATGGTCAATAACCTTAGGAAAACATAAACCATTCAAATGTGGGATTATGTCAAATGATTGTCGCATAAAAAGCTGCAAAAAAAAAACTCAATGCATTTTTCATGTTGTCACGTCATCTCACTTTCAGAATGAAAACGACGTTCGTTTATCATCAGATGGGAAAAATGACTTACCATACAGACACATACACATTTTGTTTATTCTAAATTCTGATTCGTGCTCATTCTTCATTCAGAGTGTTTATTTTTATTTTTATTTTTAACGATTAGAATTTCGTGAAATTCTTTGCTTGAGTTGAATAATACGTTAATTCTATAACTATGATATTATGTTGAATTCTAATACCGGTTTAAGTGATGTCATAGTGATTACAGATGTGACGGCGACGACGCCAATGATGATCAAACAGATAACCATTCATATTAAGAAAAATATTTTCGCGTGTATGATAGAAATTCTATCCGATTTCTAATTAGCATTCCACGTGCTCATGATTCTTATCCATCGGATGGTAGTTTATAAAATAGAAGGATATTATACGATCTAATCGGAGACACATGCATAAAACGTATATCCCACAATGATTTCATCGAAACTAGAATCAAAATTGACCATGGAAAGAAAATTGCGTGAATGCAAAGCACCGACGCTTTCGGTGAAAAATTTTGAACTTTGGAAATTTTGAACAGATTGGGTATTTCTATTAACTTAATGTATGCGTTATTCGCCGAATGAAAATTCAAATTGGGTTTTTTTTTGGTTTTTGGAAATACCCCTAGCATAATAAACTAGTTTAAACATCAACAGTCAAGCATAAAAAACTGGGTTTCTCATTCGAATTAAATACATAAAATGATGAAATTTCATGTTTGATTTTATCATAAAAATCCAGTCACACGGTCCTTACTAACCAGTGTTTCCTAATTGAATTTTAAATCGTCTCTTCTAACGCAAAAATTTTTTTGTGGTTTTTTTTTCATAATTTCGGTAGCTAAAATAATCCAAGATTTGTTGGAACAATGTTTCCTATGTCGATATCTTATTATTAGCAAAAAGACTTATTTCTCTTATTTTTACTATTGGGTTCGATGGGATTTAAAAAAAATGATATAATATTCTGAAGTGGTCCAAATCATGCATCATTTCGTGCGCATCGTTAACGATATGTGTTCAGATCTGGTCAGTGCACAATGTGCTTACTTTTTTGATCATTCATATTAGTACGCGTTATATGATGTGCATGAAATGATGTTCAATCATAATCAATATTACATATATGATAGTAATCTTGTAAAAATGTTTTTAATTGACACTTCAAGGTCTCACTAAATTAAAAAATTAATGAATCGAGATAAATCAGATCCGCATATTTTCTTCTGATAACAAACAGCATAAACCCAATAAAATTGATTAAAACGAACACGTTTAGCATGTTTTTCAGATCTACATTGGGGTCAATTGGTGTCACGTTAACTCGATAAGTGTATTTGTGCTGCTATCGATATTTTAAGCAATCATTTTTTCAACCCAAAACTAATGACAGAGTTGAATATTGACGTCAAATTTGATAAATATTTCCACATTAGACTTAAGACAGCTAAATAAAACTTAAATCTGTTTAAGTTATAATATAGCGAGATTTTTTGCGACTTCATCATAAAAAAGACATCTCCATTTCATGTTCATTTTTTGTTAACAAGCAACAAGCGCCCAACAAATTTCCTTTTGTTTTATTTCTCTAAACATTTTTTTTGGTTGAATTGTTTCGAATATTTTCGATACTTGAGAAAATAGAAAATATATTTTAATGGGTGTTAATCGATTTGGGATGTATTTTATCGAACTGAATACTGCGTAAATAATTATATTGCGCGACTCAATGCGAATATAAATGCGCGGCATAAAATTCGCATAAATCCTAATTTAATTGACGACTTTATACACATTCCACAGTAAATGATTTTGCAGTTTAAACATCAACCAATGGATACGTACATATAGATTCACTATATTTAGCACGAACGAAACTGGTTCCGTTGCTTCGCTTTATTTTCGGTTCTGTTTTGTATATTTTATCCAAAAACATGCAAAGGATTATTGATATGATCACCGAAAGATATAATTATGATGAGTCGCAATGATGTAACTTAAATCAAATACGAACAGATTACACAATGGTTTTGCTGAATAAGCTGGATAAAATGCGATTGATGTAAACAAAAATTAATATCATATTTTTAATTCGAGTTTTTCTACGAAGATACATTACATCGAATAAATGCTTTTGAATAGAAAATCCGTCAGAACAAAATTGTATCGCGAAAAAATTCATGTTCAGAATATGAAACGAAAAGAGTGCGCATATGATTTGGAAACATGTTTCATTATTATTAAATTGGTGTGTTCATATTCGCAATATGCTGAGACAGGTATAGTCAATTTTTATTGCATGTTCCACCTTATATGCTTATAATTTTTATTAATGTCGCTATACAGCCTATTGTGCAACAGTATTTGATGAAAAATAAATTCGGCAACATCATGTTGCAGATGAATGAACTTTTGAAGTGTGTGCACCATAAAAAAATACGAAAAGAAAAAAAAAGAATGTGTGAATGAACTGAATCAATAAAAAACCAGTTATTTTCGGAAGATCTATTGCAATAACGAACAAGCATAACTTCTTTCCAGATTTTTCCACATTCTACAATTCACCAAAAATTCTTTTTTTTTTTTTTCAACGATTTATATGTGAAGCAAAAGTGTTGATTCACTGCTGCTGATAAATAAAAAAAACTGTTTTTTTTTTCGCTGACCAAAACTCAAATCATTGCAAATTAGAAGATATGAAAGAAGTCAAAATTCATACAATATTTTAACCGTTCTCCATTACGATTTCGATGGTATTTTTAATACTTAATGGAGACGGTATTCAACAAAACAACTAAAAAAAGAGAGTACGAAACTAAAGTGAACGAATGCTAATTTTTACATAAACACATTTTTTTATAAAACAAACTCATGGCAAATAAATCTAATTTGCTAAATTGAAATCGTCTTTTAAAAACTATTTCAAATGTGCCAATACAAGTATTTTAGTCATCACAGAAAAATCACATCAAAATCAGAATCAGAAATCAGAGAAAACAGAAAATCACATCAAAATGAGCTGAGAAATTCAACGAAAATACATTTTTGTTTGTGTGCAAATGTAAATTGGGAACATTTATTGCGATATCATAAAAGTGTTCAAAGCAAAACGAATAATTACATATAATAATAATTATCGATGTCATTTGTGGATAAATAGATGCAGTGTTGCTATTATATATTGGTTATAGTGTGGTCTAACGGTTATTTTGTTGTTGTTTCGTAGTTTGGTTTGAAAAAATTAAGATTAAAAAAAGGCATTATGTTGATTGTTTCGATGACTTCGGGGGCGGGGGGTGCAAAACAAAATGTTCCTTCCCTCTTATCTCACGGTTTGTTTCGATTGTGCGCTTGTTTTACTGGTTATTATTTGATGGTGGTAACGATAGTAAATAATCTACGGCTTTTTGAATTTCTGGTGGTATTGGTGGTGGCGTTGGTAAGTGCGAACCCTAAACATTATTTTAAAATAAACAGAAGAACATTCAGTTTCCATAATTTCCGAATTTCATTAAATTATTACTTTATTATGTTCAAAACGAAAAGGTCGTCTGCGATTCCGGTGTGACTCATAAATATCCAATTTATTACCTCACCTGATTCGCAATTTTTTTTAATTTCGACAATAATACATCATTATATGTATAACATTTAGAACTGGTTTTGATTTCTGAAGCCGTTTAGACTATTAACTTCTTTTCTTCAACTAAACACATTAAAATTTATATGCGACAACAAGTGAACAATAATTCGAAGAAAATAAAATGAATGCTTTGTTCGACAAAAAAAAAAGAGAGAATAGGAACGTCGCAAATAATGCAAAATTTATCACATATGGTAAATATCCATAATTTAAATCAAAATAAAACGGCCTTTTGACTTTCGTTTCACTTTTCATTCACACATCAAATTTCGCAGCATTTGTTAAAGTTTAAAACGGAAAAAAAGAAAAAAATCGGTCGCATTGAAAATTCATATTTACCTGTGGCTGGAATCCACCAACATCGTCAGCAGCTAAAAATGAAACGCAAAAAGGTGTTGATAAACATTCTAACAGATTAAATGGTTGTTGTTTTCATTACTAACCATAAGTTAGCGTAATAACTTGACCCTCTGGACTGGTGTATGAATATGAACCTTGAGCAATAACGGCATCATTGCTGTCTGGACTGGAAGCTTTTTTCAATGTACCTACCTCTTCAGCCTTAATTCCGTTGCCAGTCTCATACCTACAAAATGATGCGGACAACTGATCAATAATAAAGCAGAAATATTTACGGATTTTTTTATGGACTCGATTACTTTTGTTCGAATTCATACTGATTTAAACAATTTCGCTTTCTATGGATATTTCAATGCAGAAAATATAATATAGTTCAACCATCTCCGTTGAGCAAAAGCGACGTATCGACATACAGACAATAAAATTCGAAATTCATAAAATATTTGGTTTGGTTAGCATACACACAGGCGTATAACTCTAATTAATTTATCGGTATGTGTCTGTATAAACCATAAAACTGTTGCACACGCACGCACTTAACCGAAAAGTTTCTTGGAGTTTTTGGGTTTTCTATGCTCTCATTTACCTATATTGATACGATCCATCAGGTTCAATGTTTGACTCTTGCGATAAAATTGGTATGGGCTCCGTGGTTTGGGCACCGCCTTGTGGTGCACTGAATACATACCCAATACAAAGAATCAGTAAAACAGATGTTTCCTTCATTGAATTTGGTTTGAAGAAAAAAAAAATAAACGAAAAAAAAACACACAAATCAAAATTATTGGTAATGCTAAACAACTTTTAAAACCTCTATAAGGCTTAAACATGATCAATTAAACAACGTCCAGAACTGAGCATCGATTTTACTGGGAAAAAAAATATTTGATTGCTCTTTGTAGTATAAATATTTTTCTCTCACCACAAATATGGTATTGGCATTTGCAACAGTAATATTGTGTGTCGCTCTGTACGGAGCGCCATATAATTATGAATTATGTCGTTTTATGCAATTTGCAAATATTTTTGCACCGTGTGCTCATCTCATTTACTTAGTCCATTTATCACATTAAGCACACATGCAAGCTTAAATTTGCATCTGCATATGACACGCTGTGTCAGTATTATTGCCAATTCCAAAACATATTTAAAAATGGAAATGTCACCATGCTGGTTTTATGCAATTATTAATGTTATTATTTGGCAGTTGAAGGTGCGAATTAAATGTATTTACACCTACAAATTTCCATATTGAAATGGCAAAATGTGCAACAAAGTAATACAACTAAGGTTAAATACATTTTTAAATAAATAAATCACAGCAAAGAGTGCATGTGATTGTTTGACGATGCTGTTAGCCAATTTCAATAGATAAAAGGATGATTTGAAATCGATTTTCTTTGTTTTGTGTGGATTAAACTTACGCATTTCATTTTAAGATTCAGTTCGATGAGCTAGGTATATAACGAAATCGTCACAGCTGTCACACAACAATTTTGAGATCACTTTGTTCCCCGTTTCAATTTGGTTCGCACTTAAAAATTGTTCTGTAAATTGAGAATAATACGTGATTATACACTTTCTTTATCTTAAATTATGATTTTTTTTTATCTATATGTATGAAATGTTTGCGTCTGCAATTTGTGTTTATAAGTGAAAAGCGTCTGCGAAAACGAATTAATCTCACACATAAAAATGCAATATTTGTGGGGTAACAAATACTTCTTATAATGTGTCTGTATCGTTCTGCATATCGGCACTTTCAAATAAATCCCATGCCGTATGATACGTATGTGTATATCGAAATTGGAAATGGAAAGAAGAAAATCGATAAAATGTCTTGTGTGTGCATTGTAATGTGGTATATTGGTATATATATATTTTTTTTGTTCTCGTTCGGTCGGTCGGCCAATTATATTTCTATTTTTATCACACAAAATTTGGATAACACGGAGCATCAACAAATATCGATTGATGAGAGTTAAAGCGTTTTTGGAAAGGTATTTTTGGTTGATTCTATAACTATTAAAAAGGATTTGGATAAAACGACGGTATGGCATACACGCTTAAACATGCACACTTCTATAGGACAGATACAGTGAAATCGAAACATGAATTGTTCGCTTATCAAAAATTCCGTGTTCCTTTCTTTGCCGGAATCGTAAATATGATTTTCGAATCGATATACTTTAAATTTAGTTCGATCATCACTGTTAAAAGTTTCACTCTTTTTGTGACAAATCAATCGAGTTGAACGCGACAGAATTAAACACAAATTATTTTAAATTCTTCAATGAAATGAAATCAAACGACTACAATAATGTGACAGGAATCAACAAAAAAAAATTTATAATTTTTTTTTACACTGAATATGGTGTGTTGATGCTGGTCGAGACACAAAATGCCACTAAGTGTGTGTGTCACAATTATTCACCAGGTGTTGGAATGTATCACGAAAATGCTAACTGATTTAAATTTGTTCTGGCTATTTATACTGTGGATTTTGGTATGAACGGCGAGCGTGCATTTTTCGGGAGTCATTTGAATTGGAATTCTGTGTGTTTGAATGTCGATTGTATTGTTTTCCGTCTCCTTCTCCCCATCGTTGGTCTATTTGGATCGAATAGTGTGTCGGTTGGATATTTGTTTTTCTTTTCTGTGTTGTTGGGGACGTACATAGAAGCACATTTACTTACAATTTAATTTTTTCCCTCTCCGATACAAATTGCGATTTACAAACACACAAAATGCCCAAACTATAATAGCAAAACTAAAAAGACGTTAATAATGAAGATGATTAAAAACAGAGGGGCACGCGCGCGCAATGGCAACAGCATCAACAGCTGCAATGATGGCGGCGCTAACGCTCACAAAAAAAAACAACTACCAAAGATTGACTATCAACATTTTATGCGGTAATATAAATATTATCGATGACGATAATACACATATTGCGAACAAAAAAAAAATTGAACGCAAAAAAAGATTTATAATAAATTTACACAATTCCATGGTGCGTTACAAACAATATACATATACCAACATCGATGCAATGCATCTCTGCAGTGCAATTAGACTTGTTTTTTTTTTATTTACAATGACCAGTACATTCTCATTCAAATGGATAACTGCGAGTTTGCCGGCGCATCCGTGCGCGCACTAACGTAAGCCCAGCATTTTAATAACACTCGATAAATGTAACTAATGGCAATGTTTATTGATTACTTTTGCCATATTTGCACATGCAAAAATGTTTTGCACACAGGTTGCAGAGTGATATTTTCATTGCGCATTTTTTTCAATCTCAATTCAATTTTCAATTAATGTTCAGCGCAAAGCATAGATTTCATTTCTTTTACGTGTATATATAGGATAGAATTGTCGACAAATTTCTATAAAATTCATTCATATTTCACATATATCGCAAGAAAAACCGACACAACAATCGGATAAAGCGCTTATCACATTTTCAAGCATTTCATTCGAATTGTAGCATTTTTTTTATTCGTATTTTTGCTCTCTTTTTTTGATAAAAATCGAAATGGATGTAAATTAAATCGCACGATTACAATCCAATAATAATAAAATATAAAAAGGTTATAGATTCGAATTGTTTATGAGTAGCAAACCTTTTCGGCCGGTCGGGTGCGCACTCGCTCACGCTCATTTCGAGTGCAACGAGTTCTTTCCCCATTTCAAAGTGTAACCTTTAAAATTCATCTGTTCGCTTGTTTGACTTTTTATAATAATTTTTTTTGTTGCGTTTTTACCTCTTTTTGTGTCTATTCTTTGAACAATTCAATCGATGCTGTGTGTACTCTCTCGCTTATCGAATGATTTAGTATGTGTTATGCCAGGCTATTGCTGCATTATTATTGTCGTGCTACTTATGTTATGCACGCTGCCGTGCACTTTATTACATTGTTTGTACCTTAGCTGGAACCGAGAGGAGAACACAAGAAGAAAAAAAAAGTCGAAGAAATATTGCAACAAAAACAAAGCATTCGATTTTTCGATCATTGTTCAGAAGCGCACGAATCGAAAATGAATACAATGTGTAGGATTAATCGCTTATGATACCGCGCCGTTCCATTTACAATTCATTGTATCTTAATACCCATATCGATTTCTTGCATAAAACTATGTTTTCGTCGCGGTGCAGTCAATTGCACATTCTGGAGCCAAATCGAATGAAGCAGAAAGTAGTTGACATTTCAAATAATTTTCTGTATATGATCATACTTATTATTAGTGTGTTTTTTTGTTCTGCACTAGCTAGCCTCTCTAGCGTCTATATTTCATTGAAGCCATGAAATTGTTTGACTCGATCTCTTTATTTATTGTGTGTTGAATTGTTATTGTTGTTATCGCATTTACCAGGGACTATATTCTGCTATAGCTCAGTTTTGTTGCTGTTGCGTCGCCGCTGTAAATTGACACTACGTTGAAACATTGAATTTTTGCATTCAGAGTGCAACAAAACAAGAACTCAATTTTCGAGACTAGAATCTCGTAAACAAGATTTCATAAACGCATCTTTTTTTTCTGTCATCAATAATTATTTCGATGGGAAAGTAGCTCGTTCGAAGCTTCAAGAAGCTCAATTTTTTTAGCATTTAATTTTAGTTTTGTGTTGAAACTTTGGAAAAAGAACAACTTTTCAATTAGAATTTGTTCGATGCATTCGAAAAAAATCCTTTTATATGGACGTGCACGAAACGGATCTTTTTATACAGGATGTCAATCACATTTATATTTCGGGAAAATTATTTCTTCTTTCTTGTTTGAATTTTACAGATGTACAGCAGCGAAAAGTTTTTAAAGTTGTGCAATTTCGCATTTGATCGGAATCTCAAGTTTCAAATGAAATAACATTGCGCTGAATAAAAATGTTCTTGTAAAACGCAATAAAGCGTTTCATTGACATTTTTCTGTTCGATTTGTATGCGTCGTAAGTGCCATAATTGATTTCTCTTTCTCTCTATCTCTCTCTCGTGTGTAACAAACTACTTTGTGGAAGATGAAGACGCATTGCAAGTGGCCAAGAGATCGATAGAGAAACGAGGACCAACTAATTTGAACTGTGTCGGTTGCAAATCGCGTGTTGCGAATTTAGCATCAATATTCTTCACAGCTATTGAATTTCAGTATTCGATTTCGACACAGCAGAGGCGAGAAGAAGAGAATTTAATTTGAATATCTATATATTGAATATATCTATATATTTTGTTGTTATTATTATTATTAGTAACACAAAAATGGCTTCACTTGCCTGTGTCAATAAATTGAATGCAATTTTCGAGTGGTTGGTGTAAAAGAGAAAGAATGACAGAGAAATAGAACAAACACCGTACGCGTTGCAATTGAGCAAAGAGAAAATGTGAAGGCCAATTTAAATTAAAAGTGTGACTATCTCATCACCTTGCTGGGCATCAACTAAATTGCGTTTCATCAATTGTGTGTATATGTGTGTGTGTGTGTTCATCATACTGGTAGAGCCATACATGGTACACGAAGAACGATATGAAAATGGAGAATGAAAAATATACATACACGCACAGAATTTATCGATTGGCCAAATTAATGTCTTTTTCTATAAGTTTTGTGTGTGCCGTTTTTTTTTTGTGTGTCTTCATATTCCAACGGTTGTGATGTTGACGGTTATATACCAAAATGGTAAAGTATATTAGTTTTGCAGTAAAATGAGTGAAAAGTGATGATGAACACTCATAAAACTTCGTCGCCACTAGAATATAGCAGACACATTTAATCGATCTATAAATTTAATACTCAATGTGCCTCCTCCCTCTCTGTATACATGCAAACAACTAAAACTTATGGATGAATCCGAGTATTGAACATTTAAAATATGCCGAGATTGATGTGCGCCTTTCTCTCTCTCTACCTCTAGACAATCCTTTCTCAGCATTTTCGTCTCATTTTCTCCATAACTTGTGTGTTGATTCTTTTTTACTTACCATCAAAATGTTGTATGTTTACTCTCCAAGTGATTTTCGGTTTGCAACAGGCTTGCCAATAAATATTGAACCAAATAGACAGAAACAAGCGACATAGTTACATCAACCTCACAAGCACTCCATCGTCAAATATTTATCTTTTCTTAATAAGATTTCGATCTGGTTGTAGGTTTTTTTTCTCTCGTGGCAATAGAGCGCATTTATTTGCACGTTCGCGCTCGCTGTTTGCATCTTTCGATAAGTTAATTGAATAAGTAGTTTTGCGCATTTAACGGTTATGCATTATTTATTTGACGTGATTACTCTTTTATTTTGTGTGTTTTTTTCGTCGTCTCAAAGAGCACTCACATTAATAATAAAAAAACGAATCATTAAGCTGTTGCACAAATGAACGGAATGGAGCTTGAAGATACGAACAAAAGTACTTCTAGTGGTCGAATTGACCGGCAAAACGATACATGGTTGAATCTCGATTTTCAATAAAGCGTTGTGTCTATACTCTCGTTTATGTGTCCGATGATTTGTAATTTTTATCGATGCTTCAACAATGTATGTTTGTGATATGTTTTTTTTCTTCTCATATTCATATATGCATTTGATGTGTGTGTCTCATGATCAACTATACGATGAGGTAGAACGGTGCAATACCAGCAACAACATTTTCATCCATTTCATGACATTATCAAAATCACGCGAAAATGAAATTAATTTAATCAAATTACCTTGTTATTTCGAAATTGTGTCGAAAAATTATATAGCAATATGTATATGTGTATGATGCCTACAATGAAATGAATCCGGTCCATGACCGACCAATCATGATTGGTTGTTCGACAACGACGACGACGACGACGACGACGACGACTGCCAATTATATTCATCTGTATTATGTTGGATGGTATTTTCAAATGCAATTCTCATTTCATCTACACAATTTATGAAAATATAAATGCAAATTGATCTACTAAATTAAATGTCAACGGAGTATTGAGTGTCAAAACGTTACATTCTAGGAAAGCAAATTCAATACAACAATTGCTGCACCAGCAAAATAAAGTTATAGAAGAATAGAGCCGTATTACCTTTTAATATGTGCCGTGCTGAAAAGCTTATAAATGTACTGCGTATCAGAAAACACAATCAAAACTACGTCTTTGGCTTCTTGTTGGTTGCATTTTTGTTCGCATATATTTTCATATCATAAATTGTTTCTGTTTTTTTTGTTTCATAATTTTTAAAAAATAAATATTTTCAATTAATTATTATTAAATGTATGTTATCAGTTTGTTGATCCTAAGTTTAGTTTCATTGGTAATGTGTATAATATACTTGACATTTATATGAATTGAATGGAAATCAATGATTTCACAATTAATATATATATTTATTTAAATAAACCAAAATCTTGATCCTCTGTTTGTTTTTTTGTTATAATCTGATAAAGTTCTGAATTTGTATGCATGTTTTTAGATCTTTTTGAGTAATTATTTTTTTATTTTTTTTTTCATTGGGATTGTTTTTTTTTTTCCATTGGAATGCTAAACAGATTTTTACTATATTAACAGGACAAAAAACGCATGCGTCTTGGATTTAACTTACATAATATTTTATACAAATTAATGACATATGATGCGCAATGGCTTAATGATGATAGAGATTAACACACATATTATTCACATGATCAACATGAACATGAAAACCAGAATTACCATAATTGAGATTTTGCGAGATTTTGAACATCAATTTATGATTTTGAATAGCGTTTTGAATGAACGCAAAAAAAAAAATTGAAACTGAACGAAAAAAAAAATTTCTCAATTGTTTGAGTATTTTGTGAATTCACCATTAATCGTAACAGTAAAAATTATACCCATATATGATTATTGATTTTGGTTTAATCCATATCTTTTGAGTTCGACCGCAACTTGGTCAAATTTTTCACGATACATCACTCTTTGTGCGAATCGCATATCCTGCATTCTATGTGAACTGTATATTTGAATGGGTGAGAATAAAAGTGGGAGTACAGATGTTTAGTTTGAAATGAGTAACCAGAAAAATGTGGTTGTTCTCTCAAAAATACAATTTGAAATCAATGTTGTATTTTGATTAAAACCTAGGGGGCAGATACGTGGAATAGGATTAGACTTTTAGTGTAATTTCAAAGTATTTTCCCATTTTGATTCGGATGGACACCGTTAATATTCAATGATTTTCATTTGTTTGCTGTTTCTTTTCTATCTTCTCATGTATGCGATTTTATTGATGCGTGATTGAAAATTATTTGTAAGATCGGCCGCAAAATAAGTCATCGATATGAATGACCTACTTATTGTTTCTCTGTTATTCTTATTAATAGTGTTGTTTTTTTTTATTACACACGCACGCTTTCTTACTCTCCTCGCATCTATGTGATTTTCTTGTCTTCTTTTCCCTCGACGGTCAATTCTTCGAACCGATTTGTTCTATATACAATTTTGATGCTCTCTATATAAATTGAATTACATTTTATTCCATATTTATTGACACTAAATATGCAGTAGTAATACGAACATGAAATGCTACAATTCTTCGATAAATGGAACATTTATATTGGATTTGAATATAATCGCTTGCATCAGTTGCTTTTTTTATCGATTCCTTTATTTCTTCATCTCTTTATTTTCTCTTATTATCCGTGCTATTCGTCTTATTTTTCAGATTTTCTCTTCATTCGTTTGTTCGTTCGATTGCTCATGTAATCCGCTCAAATCAATATGAATGCATTTGGCTGCAAGCATACGGCTCACTTTTTCGTTCGAAGGAAAAAATGTATACAGAAATACCTCGCGACACTGGAATTGTGTGTTGTGGCAATTTTTCGACTATCTTGAAGAAAAGAAGGTTTTCACTTGCTCCATATGTTCGTAGTTTGTTTCGAACACATTCCACTATTAGGAGGTTTTACCGTGCTTCAATTTGTATTCTTTTTGTTTTATCCTCTCTTTCTCTTTCAAGCACATGTTTATTTCATACATTTCTTTGTCTCCTCTTGCTTTTCTTCTCATTCTATGGAAATGTTGTTCTTATCGCGCGTTTATTCACGTCCCATGATATTTTCGAGTTCGTGATATTTTTTCGCACGAAATCTCTTTGTTGTCCAGAAATATACGCAGGCGTTAGAGGAGATAAAATATTTGTTCGTTTCGTATTTTTTTTTTTTTGACACGATATAATATTACTTATGGTTAGTCTTGACGAATATTTTTTTTATCGGATCAGATTTTTATACGACAATTTTTTTTTTGTTTGTTTCGGTGTATTGTGGAGCGTTTTGTTGTTGTTGTTGGAGGGAATGTTCACAGATTATCGCCAGTTGTGTGTCATTTATGGCTGTTATGTAGCCAGTATAAATGGTAATGTCATGTGCCTTTGAATCGATAAAATCGATTAGAAATTCGGAATTTGTTGTTGGGTTACCGTCTATTTATTTATTTTATTTCTCATTAAAATAGGTAACGATAATGTAAACGAAAAACTCCAGTATCATATCTTGGGATCATATCAAACTAGGCAATTTATATGTTCAGAAAAGCTAAACGGGTGGATTGAAGTGGTTGAAAGGATAAGGGTTTAAGATATTTATTTGAATATTTGAATTCGTCCATGGCACAGAAAGTCAAGAATGGACGTCAAATTACGTGCATAAATGAACAATGTTGTAACAAGCTCTTTGGTGTTGAGATATTTTGAAAGAGAGAGAAAAAAGCACCCGTGTACATATACGATATCAAATTCGTCTTTTTTTAAAAAAAAAAGGTAGTTTCATCATAACTCCATGAAGCTCATCGAGTTATTGAGCAATTCGCAAGTGTTTCTTTTTTAATCAAGAGATGAGTCAAGAAATTCTTACCGATTCATATCTGGTCGAAGTTGTTTTTGATGTCTCTATACGGTTGGCACGCTTTTGCGTATAACCACGTATGTATGTGTTGCGTGGGCTGTAATTCGCACATCTTTATGATTATCGCGTCGGATTCCATTTTTCTCGCGTTCCCTTTAACGCTTCGTGTGTCTCTTCATTCACTTCCAATATTCGATGCATTTGTATTTATTTCAAATTTTTGCAAATATTTGCTACTTACTTTAGTACCGATCACATATTTGCAATTGAAAATAAGATTTTTGTATTGATTTTGTAATTTAATATTTTTCCATGGACATCAAATACAATAAATTACAAACTATAGCTCTGTTCAAACAGAGATTGTTGTTTCTTTTTTTTCTGGATTTTTAAAGAAGAATATTACATATAATTAGGTATATATATTTTTTTTATTTACAGTTAATCTGAGCTACACACATATTGAAGAACGGCGAACACGATCCATATACGAATTAATATAGATATATATGTAGATAGATGTATCGAGAGCAAGAATTTGATTGGATTGTATTCATATGATTGATCTTGAAGTCAATACAGCCTCTCTTTCACTCGCTCTGCTCACACTGAGCGCTCTGGTAATGCAACATTTAACCTAATTTTTATTTATGCATTGAAGACTTGTTCATTATTTTTGTGCACATGCACTGGAATTGTACATTACATTTTACCCCTCTCCGTACAATCACTTTTTCATACGAATAATGTGTACTATTTTCACGCGCAATACGATAAACGTGTCTCTCAATAAATTCATACATAGATAGATTTCTAGTTTCAAAATGTACATGCAATATTATTATTTTTTTTATTATTATTATTCTCTTATATTCGATTGACTACTGAATTTTCACACATACACATTGTCTTTGTTGTTGATTTTCAAATCGATTTGCAATTTGTAATAAGTGGGCGTCAATGCACATTTGTTTCTATATTTTTTTTCGGTTTTTTGACATTTTCCATAAAACACATGTTTTTTTATTCATTCTATCAATTATTCATTCAATGATATTTTTTTTTTTTGGATTTTTGTTTTCTCCGAAGATTCATATAATAACTAGTGTATTTTGATGTATATTACTATTTGCTTAAAATTGATCTTAATACGCTAAACACGGATGAATTGATTTCAATGTAACGATAATATCATACACATCAAAATGAATGCGTATGGTCATGGACGAGTGCTTTTATTACTGATATTGAACGAAAATCGAAAAAACAACAAGATTTTTATTAGAATTTTTGAAGAGAGAAACAGCAAAGAATCAGTTTTTGCTGAAAATCAATAAGTGATTGAAATTCAAATTATGCACATAATCTTCGGGAACTTTAAATTCGAACACATTCAATTGTGCGACTAATCAACAAAAAAATATATAAGAATGCATTACTTTTTGTCGTCAGTTAAATATCAACTTTAGTCAGTGTTCTGTGTTTACAACACATGTTTTGAGCAAAGAAATAGCTGAATATAATACGAACTGAAGAAATAGCTGAACAAAATATGTATAACTGATAACAGTTGCATTTAATTAGTGTTCAATGTTCGAAAATTGTCAAATGGAGTCTTTTAGGTTAGTTGAAAATGAAAGTCAACCATACTGAAGTTGAATTTGGAGGAGGGGGCTGGGGTGCATGCGTTAGTTTCGCTGTGACAAAAGTTAAAGGAGTAATTTGAAACTTTGTTTAGTGTGTGGTTATGTGGGCGGGTATTTTCAATTGCCGTACACCAGATGAACGTTTGTAATTCGAACCACTGGTCAGAAATTAGTAATTTAATTTCAAATTACGTATCCAAGCTATATTATTCAGCCGATTCTATTCTATAAATTTGAGCAAAAATAACGTGTTTTTTCTTCAATAAAACCATCTGAATTTACACATTAAATAAAAAAAAGAAATGACATCTAATTAAAAAGATTCGGTATAGTTTCGAAAAACTAACGGTTAACTCAGAGTGAAATAGACATTGGTTTGATATTTTTTCAAAGATTATTTTAAATATGCTTTTAAGCAAGAAAAAAAGAAGTTAGTTCTATTATGAACGGGAAAAAAATGACAATGTAATATTTCATGAAATTCTGATGACATTTTCTTGTAAAAGAAAAAGTAGTTTGCACACAGTAGCTTTCAGCAAACACTTGAATGTTGCATTGTAAATGGCACCCATACGCACACACAATCACTCTGCATACGATGAGTTGAGCGTTGACTCTCCTTAAATGTGATTACATTTGGTGTAGTAGTAGTCGCGACAGAAGGGCATCCGAAATTGAATGAAAATATAAAGAATAGAAAAATGTCGAGAAAAAAACGTGCTCAAGCAAGCATTCCTAGTACATTGTCATGACAGTTTTCTTATTAATATGCAAATTAAGTCTTCTAGCATAAATTTCATTATTATTATTATGAAGCCTTTACTTGGGGTGTATGTATCCGGATAATTATGTTGTATGAGTCATATAAGTATGACACCATGAATGCGCGAGCTACCGCTTTTGTCATCTGTTACCTTCACAATCTGGTGCACTATACGGAACCAAAATCAACGAAAGGTAGTCAATGACGCTTCTTTTATTATTAGATTAATGTTCAAATTCTCTGAACGAACTAAAAGTGGGCGAATGAAAAAGAAATTTAACCCATTGGCGGCAATGTTGTCATATAGCAACTGTGAAACAAAAAAAAATAAGTACTCTCGAAATGTACGAAGAACTTTTACCATCGCTCTTTTTCATTTCGACAATGAGCTAATTTATTCTCTTGAAAAAAAAAATATATGCATTTTTTGCATAACATTTAAGTCACTCAATAAGAATCATTTGAACGTTGCAGAAAAATTTGGAGTGAGTGTAGCGTGCATTTAATGAGTTCAGAAGCGCATTCCATGAAATCATTTATGTCACGAAATAAAATGGATATGCACAGGAGAAGAAGAAAAAACAAAAAATTGCTTTTGTCTACACTAAAACTATTTACTCATCATCTTTCTTGTTGCTTATCATATACAATATAATCTATATAATTAGTCCTTTCCATTTTCCAGATGCTTATTCACAATTAAAATAGACTTTATTAAACGTTTTTCTCAAATTTGTGGATCGACATTTGCACACGATGTCCACAATTTATATACAAAGTGTTTGTTGTTTTTGTTGCTGCTGTTGCGGTGATCGCTTTTAATTTAGCAATTATCATATCATGTGTAGTATTTTGTGCATTGATTTTGCATTGTACGCCTTTTTTTGTAATTGTAATATCAAATTACATACCTTATGATAAAGTTTTTGTTGTTCTTTGTGTGTATGTGGGAGAGAGATTTGTATTGTATATATGAGCTTAAACATTAAACTGTGATTTCCTTCATTTCTATCGTTTCATACATGAACGTCCCCTAACAATAATAAGGGGCGCGGGCAATGGTTCATTGGATAATAAGCGGTTTATTTTGTCATAAAATTTCTTCAAAAATAAATAAATTCAAGTCAAACGAAGAACGTTCAACAATTCCTTAACATTTACGATAAATTTAAATATTTGGAGGTATTGATTTGGTTTTTGTTTGGTTTAGGAGTTCAGTTGAATGTGAAATTCATTGAAGTATGTTACAGGCATAATATTAAAAAAAATCATTTGTAAATAGACACCGTTTGTATCGAGTGTTTTAAACAAAAATACAATCAAGCAAATATGAAACATATAATACGATTTGATGAATAACTAAAACAAACACATTCAATAAAAAAAAAACAATAATTTTTTTTTGGATGTATGATTTGAAAACTAAGCTCCTGTTTTCATGGTAAGTTTGTTCATGACTAGGTTGTAATGGGCATTGAGTTGTTAGGCTTAGAAATTCGAGCAAGTGACGAATCGAAATCGAGCCTAAACCGATGATTATTATATTAATGACGACTCGGTGTTGTTGCGATGATCTTCCATTGTTGACTCTCTTATCTCGCTTGTACTGAAATTGGACAACTATATACAGTTTCGTCGGAAGCTGGCGTTGCTGTTATTGTTGACATTACAGATGTTGGTGCTGTTGTTATAGCTGTTATTGTAGAATTTTCGTTCAGTTTTCTGTACACACATATGAAACACACATACATTAAACATCAACAACCACAATGGATTTGTTTTTAATGATGATCTAAAAATCTAAATGTCAGTTATTCCCATCATTGTTTGGCGGTCGTATTGAATTCATATGAATTTCGGATGATGCAGTTGAGTGTAAATATGGTGGTATTCGGTCGCTTATCTTACAATTAATATGTTGAAACGAACAGCAATTCTTCATTTGTTAGTTTTGGATTTTGCATTAGAGATAAATAGAGTGTGTTTGTATGTGTATTTGTGCGTTATCAAGAAAATTGATTTTCATTCCCAAAAATACATAGTGTTTTTTCCAATTCAGTTCCAGAAAGAAATCATTCAAATGGATTTTTGATTATTTTTTTTAATTGTATGCCATAGAGATAATTTGTTAGGGAGTCAAGCATTTCGAGATAGAGTATGGTTTTTTTTTTAAAGTTCGTTGACATTCGCATACATAGAGAGAAGGATGAGAGAAAAAAAATCAGAAAGAGAGGAAAGAAATGATAGAATATTAAACACTTAGATTAAACTTTTGATTTGTTGTTGTTGTTGTTGTTTTTTTTGTGTCAATGAAGACGAGGGGGTGGGTGATGATGATGTGTGGCAACGGAGAAAATTGAAACTGAACGGACGATTCACATAAATTAAAACTAATAAAATTTGGAGTTTTTGGTGGTTTTATATATACACAATGGTCACACTTACAGACATAAAATATTGAAATGAAATTGATGGGATGGGTTGAACATCGGCTGAAAACAACGTTCGCAATTTTTTTTTGTTTTTTTACAACAATAACAAGTTCATTCTTATTTTCAAATTAGTTTTCAGTACATTTATCGTTTGTGCGAACGTTGATTCGACCCAAGTGTTTGGCATCTACATAAAATATATAAACGTTCATTTTGTGACTACAAAATTATCTACATGGGATGTATACAGAGTTCCTTCATACTTTTTTTTTAAATTTTAATTAAATTTTAAATGAACCAAAAAGTTCTTGTTGATCGATTATTTTTTTCATCTTTTTTTAATATCAATTTCCAATGGTTTATGATCGCTCGAAATTTTGATGAAATTAACTAACGAGTAAAGGTCTCCAAGTGTACGTTTCGTTTGCATGTTTTGACTATTTTCCTCGATAGTTTATGTCAAAAAATATTTTTGACGATTTCCAAATATTTGATGCAAAAATTAGTTGTATTGCAAAACTAACATCATATAGAAAAAAACCTCGCAATACACATTTCAAAGGTGTTCCAGTTGACAAACAATCTAGCATAGTACTTTTGAATTTGAAATTGAATTTTCCCTCAGCATACTAAAGCTCTAGAAAATTGTGCTCAGCAGCTGAAACTTTGCCAGTGATATTTTTTTCGACATAAGGGAAATGGTCCAAACACCTTTGGATACCTTTACTAGTAAATCTAATGAACGAGATTCATTGAGAACAAATTAAAGGTATTCATTTGATTTATAAAAAAGAAAATTAATTCAAGTATAAGACTTGTACGGGTGGACGAGCACAATAATTTTCTAAACATAAATCTATTTTTGGTTTTTCTTTTACTTGATACTTATCCGCTAAGGATACAGTATATAATAATTTTGAACGAAATACAAAAACAAAATAAGAATATATATTAATTAATCGACTGTGGTGTACAATTCCAAATTCTAAATGTGTAAATCAAAGTGACACAAGTTGGGTTGCGCGGAATATGTATGTGAAAAGGAAATAGAATAGATATGTATGAGTTAAAATAGTTATTTATCAAGTGAGATAGATAAAATAGAGATTGAATATAAATGTTTAGTGATTTTTTATGATTGAATCATACCTTTAGTGTCCGTTGGAATGCATAGCGGAATTCGCGGTTGAAATACGCATAAATCACGGGATTTAATGCTGAATTGAAGTAGCCGATCCAGAAGACGATCGTGACAACAGAACGCGGTGTTTGGCACGCTTCGCCACATAAAGATGAGATGTTATACCTATTGCGCAATTTAAAAATCATACCAAGCGAAAGGCCAAATGGAATGAAGAAGAATGAAAAGAAAATAAATGGTGAGTTTGGCAATGAGCCGACAAAAAAACTACTTTGTTTGATTCGTATGTGTTTGTGTGTGTGTGTTTTTTTCGGCTAAAAAGATGCGCTTTCTTTGTGGTGGCCTCATTTTTCATGCTAATTCCAATCGTTGCAAGCAAACCAGGATGTAATAGCAAAAACCGTCATTCAATTGTCAAATCAACCGATGTTCGATTGTAAAATGTTTCGATTTACATATTTCGAAAGCAACATGAAAAAAATTGGTCGAGATATGCATCGCCAGAGGAAGAGTTCGACACATTTTACGAAACTACACAAAGTGTTTGAACTCACAGACGTCATTGCATATATACATTACAAAGCCGACAAATAAAGTAAATGCAAAATGAAATCGACAAAAGAAAATGAGCGGCAGCTCTCTCATCGAATAAAAAGAACGAAATATGAAACACGCGCACAACACGATCAAAGGAAAACGATAAGGCAATGAGAACAAAACAAACTCGATAAAAATATACATACCATAGGAAAAATGGTAACCAACACGCTAAAAATGCACTCATTATTATTCCCAATGTACGAGCAGCTTTTTTCTCACGTCGCATTTTTGTGATGGCGCATGGTTCAACCTGGTGAATGCTCTGCCGTTGCACGGCTATACCGTTGATTTGTAAATGCTTTTCCAGAAGCAAAGCAGCCACTTTTGATCTAAATACAAATTTAACAAATTGTTCCATATATTCGATTTGCGTGAAAATATAACCAACAACTACAATAAACACTAGAACTAACAACGTTTTCCTCGCTAAATTCAAAAGAAATATTCATTTTTTCGAAAAATTTCGATGAATGTGACAGTATATACAATATTTCGAATGCGTTAGGATTCTGGAAATCTGGAAAAAGGTAGGTATTTTATTTGGTTTTGTGTTTATGAGGAAATCAAGAGTTAGAAAAGTTTTGTACAATTTTGATTGGAACCATTCTTTCAAATGAACGATCGAAATCGAACGAAAAATATACACAAAAATTGCTCAGCTATAGATGATTGCCTGTAGGTGACGGTTAAATTTGTGTTTTTAACTTTAAACTTAAAAAAATTCACTTTAAACAAATAAAAAATTGAAATCGTTGAAATTAAAATATGACAAATGAATTTGGTCCCGAGCGTTTTCTGAATTTTTCGATTTCACCATACGGTGCATGAAATTGTGTGGAGTTGCCGACGAATAAATAGTCAAAATAAATGGCAGAGAGGAGTTGTTGTGGTTTTGGCGGTAAAATCAAACAACGCTTTTGTAAACCAGCTGATGTCTTGAAATCTGGCGCGCACGAATGTCATTTGCTATTTTTCGAGTATAGAATATATAATTAATTTTCATGTTCACTTAATACTCATAGTTTAACCGAGATGCATCCACACAAAATGACGGAAAGTTCATCGTTAAAAATTGAGGAAGAATAGTAGATAGAAGAAGATATGACAGCAAAAATGTTCCGCTATTTTATCAGTTTTAGATTATGGTATTTTGTATTTGTGCGCATTTCGTCTTCTTTTTTCTTCTTCTTCATTTTTCTCCTTTTAAATTAGCTTTTCCATGCTGCAACGTGACACATTTTGTTTACAGCTGAGCACGAACGAACATGCTTAAAATAATAAAATGTATGTCAATATGTGATTGCAAATGTGTCCATGATGTGTTCCACCAAACTGTGAAATTCAATGCCAAACGATACATTCGATTCTCGTTTTGTTCAAAACGATGAAATAAAAATGAATAAATACTCATGTTCACTTTTCGCTTTGAGGGAGAGCAAATGCAATAGAAAATGGGAAATAAATGAGAATGAAAGAACGATAAAAGAGAGAGGGAGAAGTGAGTGTGGAAAAAAGTTTGAAGGTCACGGAAAATACGTAACAAAAATGTTTCAACAACACATGCATCCTTTGTGAGTGGTTTTCATTTGGCAAAAAAAGCAATAACAAATAAATCGAAGGGATTCTGCTTTATCAGATGTTCAAGTCAATGTCAGATCTTGTCTTCATTCATCGTATGGCTTGGATGTTACAAGGGAAACTGAACAAGATTTGAAGAAGGAGAGATACCCAAAGCGAAATAAAGAGTAAAAGAAATTGATCTCAAAATGAAATCGACTATAAATATTTGGCGCGCGCTTTTCTTCAATACACAGTCTGTGTATTGTGTGCGACATTTTAAGTGAAAAAAGTAATTCGAATATCTTGCGAATGTGTTTCGCTAAATTTGTGAATTTGTCGTGAATTTCGAATGCAAAACTATAGAGTACACCTGATTTTGGCATACAATTCAAACATTCGATAATGCAATTGCAAATAAATTATCTCACCGAAAATATACACTCAATAGAATTGCAATGTATTATAATGATTTTGTACACACACACATGCTAATTTCGTTCGCATCTTTTGCTCCTTCAAGTACGTTGGATAAGCAATATTTTTACTATACAATTATCTGTGTTGAAAATCACATTGTGTGGAAGCTGCACTACATTTTGTCCTCGATGAATTGAATACAGACACACACACGAAAGAGATCGGTGAAAATACATGTTATTGAATATTTTTTGCATCTGTTGCTATAGCAAGAAATTTAGATAAATATAAATATTCGTGTCAATTGAAATCAATTAGTTGGTTTTTTTTTGTCTTGCTTTTTCTTTGGATAGTGCCATCTGGTATGGCCATTTATTGAAGGGAAAAATGAGAACTAATTTGTTACGTGCCACTTGTTGAATGCATTTTTAATACAAAAAACTCTTGTACATTTCTTGGAAAAACACCATCAAGTGCGTACCACTCTCCAGCACATTTTGGTCCGATAATTTGGTTATAGAAAGCTTTTTGTTGCTCGGAGCGCTTTTTCTGCAACGATATTAAACGGATATCGCTCCAAATGATTTTGGAACATTTGAAAATACTTTGGTATTATTTATTAACACAAATATCTCGTGTAGTCAGAAAGAAAATCAATTTAACTAGTTCTACTGATATGATTAACTTCATCTTTAATGATTCGTAGCTCAAGCAACGTTAACAATGGAATTCAAAATTTGATTGTTTCTGATTCAACGAGATGAAAAATAATCTGTATATTTAATAAAATGTCATTACTGGTGAATGTTGTAAATATGTATGTTTTTAAATACGTTCCAATTTAATTATATGTGCATTATTTGATATCAAAATTGAAACAAGGTCCACCAAAATCTCTTGTATCAACATTGAACTGAATTTTGAATGGGAAAATTGGTGCATCAACTTGAGTGCATTTAATTTTTTGTGTTTATATATTCTCATGTCCACTATGTTAAATGTTCATCTGATTTTAAGCAGATTTGAATAATTTGCGTAATAATGTTTGTGATACATTGTACAATATTCATTTTCAATGGCGTTGTGTATGTTCGTTAAATTTGATTACAATTGATTCAAGTTGGCAGATCTTAGGTCAAAAATAAACAGTATATTGTTTATATGTTCGGAAAGCCGAAACATATGGTCGCTAGAATAAGTTGTGTGCTAAAAAACAAATGCAAATGTAGTTAGGTGCTTGATAATTAATCAAATAAAATTGAATTATTCAACATGGCAATGTGACAACGATGCCGTTATATTTCGATATGCGATTTTTGCTTAAGAGCTTGAACTTTTGTTAATAGATATGTGGTTCCATATAGATGTGTTGATGTACTTAGTAAATTTTGTGAAACACACTCGCAGCAAGGTTGACATGATTCGAATAATAATGACAATCAGCCACTAACTCAGTGCGTCGTGTGTGTGTGTGTGTGTTTTCGCGTCAAAAGGCATTTGCATAAATTCAAATGAACCGATGTATTTGGATGCTTGAACATCAATAAACACATGCACACATAAAACGCACAAACTTCCCTTTTTTGTGTGCACTCTTGAATCTCAAACAGTATATACTTCAAACTGTTGTTTCATGTCTACCCAAAATAACACACCAAAATGTTAAACCAAACAACATACGAAATGACATTGTGATCTCCCTCTCGCTCTCTCTCTCACTGTTAACGTGTAAATATAAATTTTCCATCGAACCAACTCCGCCACTCTTCTGCTCTCGCATCGCCAAATGTAATTATAAATTTGAATCAAAGTATCGCCGCGCGAACTACAATCACCAATGTTTACATCCAACAAATTTTACGGATGAGTTGTAATCATGTTCAATTGAGATAGGTTCAGCAACAAAATTATATTATGTACACTTGTGCTTGTGTGTACGCTATACATCTAAAGGTCAAACGTTTGATAAAGTGGATTTTGCTCTTGCTCACATTGTTTGAATAAAACGTGCAAACAATTTGTATATTGTCACTTAAAATTAAATTATTATGGTGTTTAAAAAAATGATTTCAAATAATGTTTCTTCGCCATTACCCACCTGTAGAGTAAACGTTCTTGTCGATCGGCTTCTTTGTAAATTTTATAGTACATTAAAATCATCACAATTCCTGTAAAAGTAAACAAAAAAAATCGTGAATTTTCAACAATAATTCGATTCTACGTCGGTTTTCCAAAAGCCGATTCAAAAAGAATAAATACTGACCTGGAATCCAAAAACTAACCGACGAACTTATTATGGAATAAAATTTGTTAACTTTGAATTCGCATATATGTGGATATTTTCGTAGATATAAATACTGCGCTTCGGTTGTGTACCAGCCAAGAAAAATGGGCACAAATGATAGCAGAGCTGGAAATAGCCACACAATCACAAGCATACAAACTACCTGCCAAATCGAAAATAAAAAATAAAAAACGAGAACAAAGACCAAATTGAAATGCGGTTTAAATAGTTTGCCCATTGATTTATCGAATCGATAAAAAAGAAGGCAGGCACAAAGAGAGAAAATTGTACAAAAAAAAAGAGGAAAGAAAAATCGCGTGTAATTTTCGCTTATTTGTCGTACTTACTCTAGTATAGGTCATGATGAGGGGATAGTCTAATGGCTGAACTATCGCGTAGTAGCGATCCACACTGATGCAGCACAAATGTAGAATGCTGGTGGTCGAAAAGTACACATCGAAACTGTTCCATAGATCGCATACAAATGAACCGAATAGCCATCTGCCAGAAAATTCCACCGATGCATTGAATGACATGGCACACAATGCAACCAACATATCAGCCATCGCAAGCGAAACCACAAAGTAGTTGGTTATCACTCTGCAGTCATCGTTGTCATCATCGTAGTTGCCGTTGTCCCATTTGTTTATACCGCGTACAACAACAACAAAAATTTGATTTGAATCCGAGTTTGAGAAGTGGCACAAGGAGAAATTCAATGAGAAATACAAAAAAAGAATACAACAACGAAAAAAAAAACAATAGTGGAAATCAGTGGATGTGTTCGAGAGAAACAAAAATCAATAATCAGTCTGGATAATGGCAATCGACTTTACACTGACCCTGTCTCTGTGTGAGTTTCTAGCAATTTTAAAATCGTTTAAATCGAATTAATCGAGCAGATAATTGATTCAATTGAAATGAATAAACTCAAAATTGATATAAAATAAATTTATATTTTGTTTTGTTTCAGTGTGATATCAGCTTGAAGTGCGCACATATGCGCCTCATTATAAATATTAACATACACACAATTGCTCATTACATGCAATTGCTGATTTGTAAATTTATGCATATTGGGCTTATGTCAAGCTTAACCAAAATTAAATAAAACACTTTTTTGATTCCGCACTTAAACTTATCAGTTGTTTCAATCATCGTATTACAAGCTGACCATGTTCATCGGTCATTATTTTCAATTCTAAAAAAATAATTTCAAAATTTTCAATATCACAGAGACAGAATCTGCAAACTCGAATGGCAAATAATGTCAATTGTCATACCTTAATTTTCTATGTTGCATTACCGATACGATGACCAGCATGTTACCAAATATGGCAGCTAATATAATGAAACACATCGCAAAACACTTAATAATTATTATAACATTGATTATGGTGTTCCAATCGACAACAGTGTCGTCACCATCATCAGGTACGGTGGTGGACTCATTAAAATCGTTTATATTGTAAAAACTATGCATTGATGATTGTTTCACTAAATTTTCATAACGTAACATGGGATTTGTATCATCGTCGTAATTATATTTGATCGTGGCCACATTTGATTGTCGATTTTCATTCAATTCCATTATATCGTCGGTGGTGATATTCTGTGGTCGTGCGCTTATTCTTATTCTGTTTGTATCTCCTTTTTTGTCAATTGTACGTCGTCGTCTCTTGTCTTCCGTTAGTTTCTTTTTCGAGTAGATTTTTACTAGCTCCTTTTTTTCACGATTTTATCTCTTTTTCTTATATTTTTTCAATAGTTTTCTCCTTTCATGTGTGTATTGTTACTGCTGGTTTCCGTCTATTCTTTGCTCCGGATTTTTGTTTTTTCAATTAGTATGATGGAAGTTCTCGACTATTATATTATGTCTTTACTTTATTTTATCTTGATCTCCTTATCTAACGGTGCTGTTATTGTTGCTCCACCGATGCTACGTTGTGAAAATGGCTCTTTCTTTCCTGTTGAATAATTCTACAATGGAGTAAAATTTGTGCTTTTTATAGACGTTCAGTGACTACGTCAATAAAATTAATCGTTTGATAGTGTCCGTATTTACAGAATTCGGTTGTTGTTGTTGCTACTTTTGTTGTTGCTATTGTTGTTGTTGTGACCTAAGCTATATTTTACGATTGGATTTCCTTGTTGGCGAATGTTGTTCAAACGCCAAGCTAATATATGTTCGTCGTGGTAATCTATCAAATTGATCTAAACGATACAAGTTTTTTTTTATTCCATTGGTTTTTGTTTCACTGCTGAAGAACACAAAAATACCGATCGTTTTTCTTCTTTCTTTTATTGATTGTGAATGCCTTGCATTTGAGAAGTCGAAAACTTTTACAACGGCTTATCGAAGGAAAACTTTCAGAAATACGGGTATCCTATGTCACTCTTGTTTCTCCGCTGTACGTGTGATTCAGTGCTTTTTTTCTACTGTTCCTGCTCTTCTTGTCCTTCGTTTGTTAATAGTTTCAGTGATTTCAGTCGTGGCTTTTGACTTGGCACAAAGTGATTTTACATCACTTACCAAATCATTGGTTCTCAAGAGCAATTTTTTATTATTATATGTTTTGTATGTTTTCTCGCTCCCTGTTTTTTTTTTTCGTTCGTGTTTCCTTCTTCACTGCTTCTTTTCGCCTTTGTCGCCTTTGTTTAGATTTTCAATCAATTTTGAATATAATACTATGAATTATATTACTTTTGTAGTTGTTGCTCTTCGATGGTGGCAAATGTTATGCTCGCTTGTTGTTGCATCTGATGTTCATAAAATAAATGTGATGTTTTCGAATATGTATGTGTGTGTATGTGTGTTAAATTTTACCAATCAGACGTTTAAATGGTGTCAATATCAAATGGAAACGATTCGATTCGATTCGATTGTTGTTTATGATTGTGAATGGTTGTATTGTTATTTTTGGTATCGTTTCAGTGTTTCAGTGTGTTTTTTTTCTCACGTCGTTTTGTCGAATCAATTTTATGATATCGCTTGTTGTTATGTTCGTCATCGAAGCACCATTCGATGTGATTATTGCTTTTGTGCTGGTGAACTTCGTTAATACAATGATTACGACAACGATGATTGTGGCGATAATGATGATTCAAGTGAATTGAAATTGGAGTTAGCTGTTGTTTTGACTCGAAATTTAGTATCGTTTGGTCTTTTTCGTTTGTTCGGTGCTTTGTTCTGAGATTACTGATTAAGATTGGCCGTGATGCGCTCACTGTCTCATCGCTACCATTTCTCATATTGATTGTTGTCGAAAGATATCATTTGCATGCATTTGACTCTTCATTTGGGAATTCTCTTTTATTTTAAGAACGTTTTCCAATTATGTCGATGATAAAGCACGACAATTTATATATGAAGCCGTCATTATTCACAATCCCAAATTGAATGAGAAGAATACCTGCAAAATAACATAAAACACAATTTAATTATGATTGAATTGAATGGTGAATGACGAATGAATGAAAAAAAGAGAGTATTATGTTTTGATCGCCGTCTTAAATTTAAATAATTTTCAGCAATCTACAAAAACAATCGGGATGTATGGGAATGAAAAGTAACCAAATTATGAAGTGAATTATTTTCATTCACCGTTTCTCTCTTCTAAATCATATAAGCACAGTTGTCCTAAGGATAAAATCGCCTCAAACGAAATCGTTGAGTCGCTATTTCTTTTAGCCGTGTAGAAAATGAAAATACAACTTTTTGATGCAAGACATTTATTGATGTCGAACGAAAATTAAATTATGATCGCAAATGAAATGATAATATTTTGTCAGCTGTAATTTTATCATTCGCTTCACAAATTCATATAAAATGTGTGTATAGGTGTGTAAGACAAAAATGGTCTTGTGTAACATAATTTTTCCGAAGAAAATAGAGGTGTACCTGGAATGTGTGTTTTTATTTCATACATAAAATATAAATAAAAAAAACTGCGTGCGCGTCAGTCAGTGTGTGATTTTCATACGTTTGCATCGATTGCAAAATAAGAGATAATTTGAAGAGCCTATATATTCGCATTGTGGCCATGGGAAGCAGATGTGCTCTTAAAATCGATTGAAGTCGACGTCTAGTTGAGAATAAAAATGGCTTGACATATTTTTGGCTTGTACAAATGTCGGAAGGCAAGAGGCATATGGAGTCATTTTCATTTTCAGCTCTGCACATATCTTGTATGATGTGTACTTTATTTTCGATAAAGAATAAACTCGAATAATTGAATAAACTTGAAATAAATATACGCGCTTTTATGTGACGCATTTTGTGTGGCATGTATGTAATGTGTGGTGCGGCATAAGAGGCGCCCGCATTAATGTAAGCCCGGACGATCTTATATTTTTTGGTTGATGTAAATAATGCTTTTTATGCTTTTTTATAGTCGATCCGCGTAACCGTTTATGCAGTTGAATTCGTCGTATTGAATTAATTCAAATGGAAACAGATGAATTTAACGAGTATAATTGACATAATAGACGTGTTGATGCATACATTCTTGTGGAAATTTCATATGTGTACGCAGCAAACGAGTGGATTTTTTTTGTGTTACTTATAAGCATTACATATTTTTAAGAGGGTTACTCGCATTTGTCGGATTTCGATGTGCATAATGGTGTTTGTGAACGACTTTTAATCAAGTACATTTAGGTATATGTGCTTTTTTTGATTATTCCTCTTTTTTTTGTTTTGTTTTATTCACATATTACATTTCATAATAATATTGCCTACAAACGGATTTTCTTTCTTGAAACCTATAGACTTTTCTCTTCAGTACGATAAATGAAAGAGAAGAATATAAATAAAACATTGCCAACTTTTGAGCTCGATTTTCGAATACAATAATTTACGTGTGAAGCAAATGTAGAGAGGGATGGTATTTGCTAAACCCTTGAATTTGACTATAAATTACAAGCCAACTTGATCTCTGTGAATTCGTCGAGATAATTTATTGGCTGTAACGAAGAATTTTTTTTTCTCCGAAAATTAAGAGCATTTTATGGATTAACAACTTGAGATGTCAGTATCGTTAGAACTACAACAGCAAGTAGTGTTCACAAATATGGATAGGTTGATTCTTTCAACCATAACCGAATACATTTATCAGAATTCACGATACACAAACCATGAAACCGTTGCCATGAATCACATGTCTAAGGTTTTCAAACAAGCACCAATGATTTACACGATTTTTTTTTTGCTACGTTTTATTTTTCTTATTGTTGTCAAACGATTTTGGTTTTGGTCTCTGGTCCACATGTAGAATTCTGTAAAATGGGTCATAATTTTATAAACAAGTCCATTTTGACGGAAGAAATTGTATAGGTATTATTCATTAGTTCTATTGTTCAAATAAAAATCATTTCATTTTCTTTTTTCGAAAATCTTTTATCCCAAGATAGGAAATCTTAGCGATGACACCAAAAACTAGCTCGTTCAACAAATGAGATATAATATAAAACGCAATATTGTTAGATATCCCCATGTGTCCAAATGGTATCTATTTTTTTTTCGACGAATAAATTGTATATGACCAAACAGAGTTCACCTTTTTGAGGTTTATTTGCAATGATGCGAGTTCTTCGTGTGCTCGGAAAATGCACGAAACTTCGCTTTGTTTTTTTTTTTAAATAAAAGTTTTGTAAATTTTTCCACATCACTCAATGAATAAATAATTCGGATTTTCTTTACAAACGAATGTTAAATTTATGGTCGTTTTCTTTCTGTTTCAAGCAGTCTAATAAATTATGTCCGCAGATAAGCATTTCAACTGGATATCGAATCGAAGAATGAAGTTAGAGTAAAGAATTGGGATTAAAAAACGCCGACACTAGGCTAGTTTAATGATGCAGAACCTTTCAGTTTAATGATTCGGGTATACTTTGAAAACCGGTTGTGTCATTTGTTTTCGTTATGTTTAGTAGACAGAATCAGGTGAAGGCTCGTGAGACTGATATGGCTAATCTCCACTTTCACTCTTCGCTTTTTTAGATGAATAATTTCAAACACACATTTTATAAGAGTCTGCGTTTGTGCGTGAATATGTAATTGTTGTTGGTTAAATTACTTGAATTTCCAGTGGGAACTGTTTGGAAAAATTAATGGATGCGGCATGAAACGTTGTGACTTGAAAAAAAAAATTCCACCACAAAAAAAAATTGGTTTTATTATCCATCAGTTTCACATGAATTAAACAATTCAAAATGACACGACATTTTATTTACATGACCTTTGATATGCACATTTTTATTTCGTTTTGGCATTTTCCATAGATTTCACATTGAAGAGAATGAAAGAGAGACGTTTATGTGTCAAACATCTATGAATAAAATGTATGACTTTTATTTGATACATCAAATGAACAACGAAGTGGAAATGCTTCGCTAAACTGGATCATAAGCACTCGCATTCGTATACATAACGGCTCTTCTGGCACTCGCAAATTAGAATATTAAGTGAGTTGATGCCAAATGTATATATTTTTTGTGTGTCGGAAGATATTGTAGAAATGCGCATCGTTTTTGCAGTTGAAGAACAAACACACACACAAACGCACGTTTCATATTTTTGTGGCATTCTCTATAAAGATTCATACATGAATTTTGCAAATTTGTCAAATGATGCACCCTCATGCGAAATAACCATGTTCGTCGAACCACGAAACTCAGCATGATAGCTAAAACAACATACGATGAAACAGGAAATTTCACATTTTGTATGAGAGCACCTTTTTACTGTGCGCTTTTAACGATGAATTCGAGCGAATTCACTGGGACAAATGACTGAGCAATTCATAAAAAAGCGTCGAGAGAGAGAGAGAGAGAGAGAGAGAGAAACGGAGGAGAAGAAGGAAGAGGAAAAAGCTAATGTGAAAAGCCACAAAGACTACATAGTATTCAGAAATGGATAATTTTCAACATTTTAGCTTATGAAAAATTCATCCTTTTGTTTCACTTTATTACTCTCCATATACAAAAGAATGGACAAATGTAATCTAAAAACATCGTGCTCTTAATTTTATCATTGTTCTATAAATTCAAAACAATAGCAGCAATTTGAAATTGAAATTTGGACGGCTTTCATGAAGATAGAAATTCGGTGAAAATAAAACCACAGTGAGCTGTGTATTAGCACGCCTACATTCGAAACAAATTATGAACAAAATATTTTCTCCGATCCCAAACTGCGCCCAACTTTTTTCCCCAAAGAAATGGGTGATAATGTTGAAATGTTGATCTCAGTGTTAGGTACGATCCAATCTCAGGGAAGCGAGACTACGTTAATCATAATAAAAAAGTCATTTCCACCTTCTTATTCTGTAAACAATACACATTATGCCAAAGAAATGAATAGTTTGAGTATTCAAGTGTAAAAAAAATGTTTTTCGCCAATACAAACGTTGGGAATTTTCCAAATTACAATTTTCAATTTATTTTCAATATATCCTAGATGAAAAAATAACAAATAATATGTTGTTCATACGCATAAGCGTTCACTTATACATAATCACAATCACTGGTATGGAACGATGTACATTTCCGTTTGGTATACATATCTCCAGCGGCTGATAGTTTCAACAAAACAGCAAATCTGTAGAATATACTAAATTATGCACGCACAATTCATACATTTTTGACCCGTCATTCTCCATGTGAGGCTATGAATTGATTTTTCTATATACCCAACATTACATCGAGTATGTTCTTTTTTTTTGTATGTGTGTGTCAACTTTAGCATAAAGTGCCTGTACAATATGTATGTTCGCACCCAAATATGCTCCAAGATATTTTGATGGAAACAAATAATGCATAAATTACAGTTTAGATCGAAAATAGAAGTGAATCAGAACCCTCAATTTTTATGTGTTTAGGCGTATTACGCGTTGTCATATACAGGATATATCAGTGGAAAACATAATAGAAATTGACGTCTGCTCACCCGAGACCAGAGCATGAATATGTCACTCACGAAGAGCGCGCTTGCTAGGAGCCGCTCCTAGCTATGAATGTGTTAGTGTGACGAACGTTGTATGTATTAGTGTGTGCTGTATACCAATACGAACCCAGCAGCGACTTCTGACAAGTACACCACGCTCTCTGAGGCGCTGCGCTCGCTAAGCAGGCGCGTTCTTCACAAGTGCGATTTCATACTCTGCCCGAGACAAAAACCGAATACCGAACGGAAGTCTATTTGGAGCTGAACAAGAACGAGCGGTGAACAACGAGACCCATTTACTCTATATTTATGAAAATAAATTCAATTGCATCGACAATAAAAACGAACACGCACCTAGAATAAATATTCTATAGTACTTTGGATGAAATTCATTTTCAACGAAAATTAATATACACGAATTCCAATTTAAGCAAAAACTATAATTTATTAGGAGTCATCGATTTCTCG